TCTTGTTGCGGTTTTTGTAGTTCCAAGAAAAAGTATAAGTGGGTCAATGAGAAATCCTAAAATTTGAATGCAACAGGTCAAGTCTGATTTCAATAATTTAATCTATGATGTTAACACTGCGTCATATCTATGGAATATTTTTTCTTAATCCTACTAATATTATATAAACTGGATTACCTAACGTAGTAGTAATGTATTGCTGTTGACTACGGGACTATTCCCACCTTTCGTTCCCACCGCTGCAACTCCTGTGTAGCCAGGATCTACAGCTTGACCGCCAATAACCCAACCAGTGAAGGCCAAGTTTGTCCCGGGGGAAGTTAAGTGTCGACTTAAAACTGTAAGCAATGAAAGAGCTTACATTCAGATGATAATCGCGAGAGGCTATAAGCGTAGGTACCCTTGAAGTACATTTACAAGTAAATGACCTCGTTTATGTATTAAACATAATGTTTAATAAAAATACATAAGTATTTTCCTGGTTAGCGCCGCACGCTTAACAATGTTAACCTACATTTGAAAATAATATGTAAGTCTTCGAAGTCAATTCTAGAATATTATTTACATCATATTTTTAATTTAATCCACTAGCTCTAAGACGCGACTTCTCCTTTTTCAGTCCACCAAAGGAAGTAAATTACGCGTGTGGCCTCCTACCGAAAATAAAAACTGTTCTATGTTTTTAAGTTTCAAACTATTTCTTTACCTTTCATCTAAATCGGTTCAGCGTAAAAAGGCAGGACACAAACAGACAGATAAGATTTCTTTCTTTCTCATTTCGATAACTGGTGCAAAACCATCGTTTCCTTCAGCCAAATGACGCCCACTGCTGGAAATATTCAATACAAATACATCTGTTTCCGCAATATATTACACCGATCTTGTCACGACAAGGAAAAATGTCTGTGCTTTTAAGCGATTTTGTGAAAAATATTATTGGCAGGTAGTTGCTAATTGCTCATAAGATAGGCCCCCTTAATTGATACTTATTGTCCGTGGTGCATAATATTTTCTTAAAGGTTTTTTAAACCTTTCTTTGTCACCTGTCATCCGCTTTGCAATGAAGGGAAGTCGAACCTTAATTTTGAACTCTTTAACTAACTTTTGTTCTTCTGATTAATTCCGTTGCGGGTCCAATGATAGTTTAACTTTCCCTCGGGACAAACTTGACTTTCATTGGTTGGGTTTTTATGGCGGTCAAGCTGCAGATCCTGGCTACACAGGAGTTGCAGTGGTGGGAACGAGAGGTGGGAATTGTCCCGTTGCTGGATTTAGTCTCCCCCAAGAATTTCCACAACGACTGACTGCCCTGCCCGCATCCAGGTGCTTCCGCCACCTTCACCAGGTTGTTCATCCACTTAGTGCAAAGTCAAACCTAAGGCAAACCCGTGCCTTGAATCAATTTTTATTATAAACAGATCTAGTAGCATACGTAGAAGTCTTCGAAAACACATTTCACCGATCCATTAACAAATCAAGCATGAATCACGGTCTTCCAAGAACTATTTGTAAACATACGTATGAGAAATGCAATATCGTCGGAATTATCTCGTAGTACGGGAAACTGGGGTTTACGGAGGTGGGATAACGTCATAGATCCAGAAATAATTTGATGGACGAATGCCCGTTTTCAACACCAATCCCTAATTTTTAAGTGACCCCAATGGTACATAACAGGAATTTTGTTGTCACTTAAAAATTAGAGATTGATGGTGAAAACACGGGAACGAGAGGTGGGACTCTCGTTCCCACCACTGCAACTCCTGTGTAGCCAGGATCTACAGCTTGACCGCCATAAAAACCCAACCAATGAAGGTCAAGTTTGTCCCGGGGGAAAGTTAAACTGTCATTGGACCTGCAACGAAATTAATCAGAAGAACATAGGAGGAGTTCGAAATTAAGGTTCGACTTCCCTCCATTGCAAAGCGGATGATGGTGAAAACAGGCGTCAGGCTCTCAAACGTTTTCTTGTTGATGAAGGGCTTTTTCCACTGAGACGTTTTGGCTGCAAACCTTGCTGCCCCATCGGCCGTCAGTTCAGCGTACTATGTGCCCTTCCCATTGCCATTTTATCTTGCTAATCCATCGGTGAAGTCTACTATCCACCCACAGATGACCTCATAAAGGTAGCAGGAAGGCGCTGGATGCAGGCCGCTACCAACCCGGCAATATGGAAAGCATTGGGGGAGGCCTATGTTCAGCAGTGGACGTCCCTTGCAGCTGTGGCAGAAATGATAATGATTGATATTTTCCCAACTCACTATAGTGTGCATAATTTCAATCATTTAAGTCTGGGATTGCCTACCTATAAACCACTTTGAGTATCGCTGCGACACGCGAATATCGACCTTGTTCCCAAAGCGCACTTTTTATAATTAGTCAGATGATGTATTTGTGAGAAAAGTGGGTGAAGTCCTTGATCTCATAAATCACACTTAAATGTAAGAAACTGTGTCTTTAAAATAATTTCTTAGCATGAAAATCATTGTATTGTCGACCAGTCAAACAAGATCTGTTATATATATGGGACTGCTTCCATTAGAGGGGTCAAGCTACATCTCCGGTCAGGATCTACACTACTAAACGAAATAAAATGTGTACCTCAGATAGTTTTTTGGATCATAATTATGCTTTGATGCAAAACGGCCCTTACTCTGTCAAAAATCGGACATTTCCCACCTACCCCCAAAAGGCTTCTCCCGAGTAGGAAAAATAAAAGTTTTCGTGTGCAGATGAAACAAAACTTCCCTTTTCCTCCATTAGAAAGAAGTCAGGGTAATATGGGAAAATTTCGAAATTTCAAGTGCAAAGCATCGCCCAATAACGTGCTAATGTCATGTCAAATTATCATAAGAATGTGTTTTCCATCAATTAATTAATATCTAATTACTCATAACACGCTATGATTAACAGTTATTTTACATAACTGATAAGGAGTCAAAGTTTACGTGATTTAGAAGTGGGAGAGCAGTAAGCTCTCCCACTTCTAAATCACGTGCTTATCCATATTTGATATTTATAGCAAAATAACTGTTTGTCCGTTGCCTTTTCCACTTTAAAACCTTTGAACCAATTTTAATAACTCTATTACCCACAAGGTGGATAGATGACCTTCTAAAAGTTGCAAGGCGCTGGATGCATTACCTCGTAAACCTAGGCGCGGACCACCGATCTTTAGTTGGCCGATAGTTGGACCCAATTCTAATTTGTATGAAGAATCGGCCGATAACAAATCAGTGTAATGCGCACTTTCATACATGTCCATACTCCATACTCATTAACAGCCCGACCCAATTATAGGCCTACAAAAAGTCAGTGGTCTGCCTCTAGGCTAAAGGTTGCGGGAAGGCGCTGGATGCAGGCAATCTGTAAATCATTGGGGAGGCCTATGTTCAGCAGTGGACGTCCTGTGGCTGAAATGATGATGATGAGACGCAGATTAGATCTTGGTGATGGATAAATGGACTTTCGAAAATAAAGCTTGAAAGCGTGTGGTATTAATTTCTTATGATATTTAATTCATTGCCTTGCGTTTGATAGTTTTTTCATTTGCCTTTGGTAAATTAGAAAGGGGTCTTGCTCCTGCAGTGGATACTCAGGTCATGATGATGAATTAATAAAGTATTTTCGAACAGGCGACACTTTTGATAAAAACTTTCTATCACAGACCGAACTCGAATGTTCTTCTGATGAATTTTGTTGCGGGTCCAATGACAGTTTAACTTTCCCCGGGGAAAAACGTGACCTTCACTGGTTGGGTTATTGGCGGTCAAGCTGTAGATCCTGGCTACACAGGAGTTGCAGTGGTGGGAACGTGAGGTTGGAATAGTCCCGTATCACAGACCAAAACCGGCAGGCGCATCCGCGGGCAACACCTATAGACGATAAATTCTCCCATCAATTTCCATGAACGCGTACAAACTTCAAGAGTCAACCATTATCTGTACATTAGTGCTATCGTAATCTAATATTTGCGAAGATAACAGTCACATAATGGCAGACGTGCACAATAGACACATAGCAAAGTAACTCTGATTATCATCATCACATTAAGGGCATAGCAGACCTATCAACTCGGAAAAGGATCAGCACCGTATCGCCTTTCGCGAGCTGTCATCGCCTTACGCGTGCTGTCATCGCCTTACGCGTGCTGTCAACCGCGAGGCGAGGCGTTTTGAGTTTCTTACGCAACTTCTCAGCACCAGTCCATATGTTGTCCCGAAGTGGTGGTAGGGCAAGCTATATTTGTGACGTTAATAAGTGCCCTGGAAAGGGCCTATGTACTAGTGCGTCGATGTGACGTCACGGCTGCCAGGTGCGCAGTTAACTTGACCCGGGTTGTATACAGTGCCACTACTGTATCTTGACTTGATCTAAAGTACACACAACGGAAGCGTACTTAGTAATAAGTATTGCACAAAAACACGAAATGTTTCTGAAATAATGCGTAGACAATGACTTGCACAATTTATGCAATCGTCACAAACATTTAGGATGCTATCAACTTCTGACGTAGGTTTCAGTGAAGTTATTGTCATACTCATCAGGTCATTTAGGCTTCACTCAGCACGGGACTACTCCCACCTCTCGTGCCCCCCACTGCAACTCCTGTATAGCCAGGATCTACAGCTTGTCCGCCAATAAAAACACAACAGTGAAGGCCAAGTTTGTCCCAGCTTCACTGTAGGAGCACTACCCCTTTAATTTACCACAGGACGTCCATCCACAAAGTGAACAGATGGATCATAAAGGTAGCAGGAAGGCGCTGGATGCAGGCCGCTGCTGCCCAGTCAATCTGGAAATCATTAGGGGAGGCTTATGTTCAGCAGTAGACGTCCTGTAGCCGAAATGACGATAATGAAATGGCGGATTATCCTATATTCCTTAATTAAGCTGTAGATCCTGGCTACACAGGTGCTGCAGCGTTGGGAACGAGAGGTGAATAGTCCCGTATATTCTTAAATTTCTGATAGCCAAAAACTGTTTCTTATTGTCACCAGGTTGTCGAGTGCAAATCAAAGTCCACCGGTGCCAGACGAGCGTTGAAGGTGCTACATGACAGTGCAAAAGCCAGGAGGGAGGTGGAACTACATTGGCGGGCCAGCGGGTGCATACACATTGTCGAGGTATGCTATGATTTATACTACAACCCCGTCGAGTTAATTGCGTACCTACCTGGCGGCCATGACGTCACTCCGGTACGAATACGGGGCTAACGCGGGGAGGTGTGCAAGGGAGAGTCGCATTCCAGCGAGGTGCGCAATTATCTCAATCGGATTGTACAGGCATTGCACTACTGAGTCAGTTCCAAAGGTGTGAATGTGTGAGGTCAGATATTGTGTTGTCCGAATTTTTGTAATGTCTAGCGATATTTTCTTTACGAGATCGAATCAGGAATGAGGGGATCCGTAAACGAACTAAAGTCGCTGACATAGCCCGACGGATTAGCTAGCTGAAGTCAGGCTAGATGTGTCAGGGCACATAGTACGCAGAACTGACGGCCGATGGGGCAGCAAGGTTTGGAGGCAATGGAGGCCCCGCGTACCGAAAAACGCAGCGTGAGACGTCCACCCACAAGGTGGACCGACGACCTGATAAAGGTAGCAGGAAGGCGCTGGATGCAGGCCGCTACCAACCGTGCGATGTGGAAGTCATTGGGGGAGGCCTATGTTCAGCAGTGGACGTCCTATGGCTGAAATGATGATGATGATAAAGCGATATTTGTACCCGTAGTAGCAAAAATCCCAAAGATAGACGTCCCGTTTTTACCGAATAAAAAAATCCAGGAACCCTTTTTAAAGGAATCTTGTGTTATAAATTACAAATACAAAATTATGGCAGAAATAAATGTCTGTTAACTCCTCTAACCTCTAAAACACTAAAGTACTGATCCAATTTTGGTTAAAAGGTGTAGAAATAGATTAAACCTTGAAGAAGGAATTAAAGATATAAGGCTACTTTTTCGGTGTTTAGGAGTTTCTGTTAGTTCACTGACTCGAAAAACATCTAGACTTTAGAAGACTGTCTACTGCCACAGCGTGACGTAAGAGGTTAAGGTCACCGTGAAGTCATGAGCACGAAACTATTTTAATATTCATTGCCAAAGTACATCTGCGTTAAATATTGTTGAATTATTGTCATTCTTACTTTATTATAGAAAAAGAATCGCTCAAATCGGACTAGAAATCTTTAATTAATCGGTGTATGTACAGATTGTAAAGATTTCTGGACGACATAATTGTCACGAATTACGACGAAGACGATCAATTACGACATCCAGGTAAACTAAAAATGCTCATAAAATAAAAACTACTCAATCAAATCGAATAAAATTTTCATGGGACCAAAAGACAGCTATTTTGCATCGATCAAAGAAAAAAATTCGTAAATCGGATCAGAACTCTCGGCGTAATCGGTGTATTACATACATAAAAAAAAACATGCCAACCGAATAAAGAACCTCCTTTTGTTGAAGTCTGTTAAAAACATAACCTCCCTTCTGGCGCAGTCGGGTGAATAGTCGACGATCTGGTGAAGGTCACGGGAAGTGCCTGGATGCGGGCAGCGCAGGACCGTTCGTTGTGGAAATCCTTGGGAAAACGAACGATACAAATTGTTAGAAAACGCCTAAAATGGGACTGGCAGTTTTGCTAATATTCATTCCGTCTAGTTAGGGCTCGTTCCCATGGCAATCCAGTTTTGTGGGATCCAGTAAGGTAGGATCCTGCAATAAACAGTTCCTGCAAAAAACGGGCCTAAAAGCCCTAACTCGTGGAACCCTAGTGCCACTAGGGCCGATCTCATGTGACCACTAGGACTAGCCTAGATCACATGAGATCACGGTAACAATAGATTTCTATTGTGTCCCGATTCGCTGGCACTTGAAAGGGTAAACTTGACTTTCGCTGGTTGGGTTTTTATTGGCGGTGAAGCTGGAGCCCCTAAGAGTACTTACTTAATTTTCTAGTAAAGTGAGAAAGCCATTATTTAAAACATTACCACCCTCTCTACAGTCGGTAAACAGTACCTTTTTTAAAATATTCATGCATGGCTCATTACTCCCATTAAATGGATGACAAATGAACCGGGAGTTTTTGTAATGGACTATTGTTATATTGATCCATCTATTATTATTGATCTATAAACAAAAATCCAGACAGCTAGCTCCGTGTACGTCTACTCATTCGATCCTACACTTCGAACTCCTATGTTCCTCTCATTAATTTCGTTGCGGGTCCAATGACAGTTTAACTTTCCCCCGAGACAAACTTGACCTTCACTGGTTGAGTTTTCGATGGTCAAGCTATAGATCCTGGCTACACAAGAGTTGCAGCGGTTGGAACGAGACGTGGGAGTAGTCCCGTAGCTCAGCCTACAGACTAGATGAAGTCAAAGCAGCTAAGAAAACCGGCCAAGCGCGAGCCGGACTAGCAAACGAAGTCTTCTTTCTTTAATGACGTAGTCAATCACCAATCAATTGACACACTTTATAAGCTTTCAAAACGCGGGTCCCCTATACACCGTGTTACTTTGCATTCTTGCCATATTCACAGAGATAAAAGTAGGGAACAATACCTATTATTTAAGATAAACAAGAGACTCCCATAAAAAAAGTACACTAAGATTTTAGTAAATTTGGTTTTTCAGTACAAATCGGAATAAACCAATTTTGTCTCGCACGGTCTACAGGTGCAAGTAGAATAAACCTAGTGGGCGTGGCCTAGTTCTTAATAATCTGTTGTTTTATGGCTCTGGGTACCAGCCTTTTTATCCAGTCATAATAATTATTTTAAAATACTCTTCAGTTGATTTCAGATTTTCCTTTCTACTCTCAGTTTCTACTTTACGGGCTTAGGACCGCCAAAAATACGTAATAATTATTAGGGTTTTAATTAATTTTAACATGGTACCCTATTTTTACAAATTAATAAATTAAGTATGAAATGAAATCACCTTATTCACAATTAATTATTTATTTATAAGTTCCTACTTACAAAGTTTACGTACTGCGAAGCAAGTGTTCAAAGTGTCGATGCCGATGAAGGCACAGTCTAGCACGGCGAAGCGTAGGTTTTCCGCTTTAGTTTTCGTAACACATAAACGTTTTGTCTCACAGTTTCACTAAAACAATCCTTTCATGTAACGCGTTTACACTGTTTATCTCTTCTGCGCATACCAATCGTTTCAAGTCACGCCAAAAATCCATTGTGGTCAGGTCCGAGGATCGTGGTGGTCAAGCTACTGGACCACTCGTCCAATCCACTGTTCACCAAACGTATTATTCGCGCACTTGACGTCCTTATTGTGGGGGAGCACCATCCTGCTGCTAGTAGAGCATTTGGTGTAACGCTAAGGGTACGTCATCAAGCATTTCGTTNCATCAAAAGATATATTACAACCAGTAGAGATGTTATTGTACATGAGAATGCAAAAGGAAACTGTACATCAGATTCTAATGTATCAGTTTCAGTTAGGGATATTGTCCAATCAGAGGTTCCAAGCAGTAGCAATAACATGGATGAAGAAAAGTTGGATGTCATTATGAGCCCTGTAGATTTCACTGAAAATGAGTCGCATGATGACACAGTAGGACCTTCAGAGTCTAATGCTTTGACAACTGATTTGGATTCAACTTTGCATCAATCTCAAACATCTGAAGAGGTGAAGGAAACAATGTTACCAGAACCAGCAATTACAGTAATACCCAAACGAGTGAGAAGGCCACCAGAACGGTATGGGTATACTAACTAATGCAATGCCAGCTGATGTTCGGACTTAAGCGTTATGTTCCGTAAAACTTGTTTTTGTAATTATCGTTTATTTGCTGTAGTTGGGGTGTTAGAAAGTAGTTTGAACACCAAATAAACTATAGACTCTAGAATGTTTTGTCTATGTAATATTTTATGGATTATAAAATAAAAGACACTCGATCTTCGGCTTTCACAGAAATACGTTATTTCATTTCAATTATTCCCATTATAATAATTTTATTGTATTATTCATGAATATTATTGCATAAGTGTTACATAAACATGTTTTTAATGTTTTTAAAACTTAAAATCAGACAAATAAAGCAAAAACATAAAATTTCTTCTAAATACGGCAAAATCATCTAAAAAAATTAAAATCGTATGTCAAAAAGTACAAATACAGTAACAAATTTTAAAAGTTGATATATATCATTAAAATCGGCTTGATATATATCGGATATATATCCGATATATATCAAGGTATATATCCCTTGATATATATCCTCGAACCCTGATAATAATAGTCCAGTAACTATTATTAATAAAGTTACTGGAGTAGTTCTGATTTTCTACAGACTTGTTTAAGAAGTTAGCCTAATAAATAATCTAAGTTTTCCACCTCAAGTGTCTAAACATAAAACAAGTTATCTTAAAATCGCATCCCAACATCTTGGGATGGGCACTAGACTATTATGGGGTGGTAAAATTAAATACACCTATTTCTGTTGCCATATATTATGAACTAGATTAATACTAAATAATTTCAAAACACCTACCTAAATCATTGTAAATTGTAAAATTTTGTGTTTCAAATTAGACACCAATTAGGTATTTTAGCGTGTTTTCGCCAAAGTTGCTTTTTAAGATTCTGTTTAAAATTTTAAATAGGTAGGATGTTGAAAAATAATAAGTTGAAATATTTGGATTGTGTGATTAAGATGTGGTAAGATATTTAGTTAACGATAGAACAAATTATTCAAAAGTAATTGGTTTTTAATTGTTGTTTCATCTAATTCTGTAATTGGTTGATGAAATCCTATCTGTATAGAATTAGATTAAAGGAATGAATGCAATCCCTTAGGATTTCACATGAAATTATAAGTACATATTAAGAACGAATCAAAATAATTAGGTTTGTTCAGTCTCGTGGTGCCCATGTTTTTATCAGCAGTAACATGACATGTGATTTGTTGTGACTTTAGGTTAGGCACGCAAACAAAGACATGAGATCTTAAAAATCCTAACAAACTTTGATTACTTCTTAAAAATAGATAGATGAATGCACTTCTTTGTTCCTAGTTACGTAATAATGAAGTGTAGATGGAAAAATCAATAAGTTTCAGTAAAGCACAGGGTCAAGTACTCACCTTGCCACTAGCTGTACCGCCTGCCACGCCAATCAGAAAAGGTGTCTTGCTCTCGATGCCATTGCTATTCGTATAATCCACTGGTTTATCTGCCATTTTGTACGTAAATATACACTTATACGAAGACCTTACAGCTAAAATTCCACAATACGCAAGACTGCGGCCCTTTCCCAAAACTGCTGACATTGACATTTTATTTTTTTAAAGTACGGCTCTGTTTTGCTCCACTTTTCGGGTCTGTGCTCAAGCTCTTTGGCCAATCCGTGGAGAGGCCTTCGGGTGGGACTAGACATCGCACAAAAATTAAGTTTTCCTTTTGTGCCTGTTTACGTGTTTAATAATAAATAAGAATATTTAAACTTATCTGTAAATCGACACCAAGGCCGCCGACTAGGCAATAATATCTCAGCTATAGCCTATACGTATGTGACTAGTACGCTTATATCACGCCAATAGACTTCGGCAATTTTTTAAGAAGAGAAGAAGAAGAGAAACCGTATCACTAACGTATACCGGATTTAGAGACATACATTATACTCATGTTTTTCAGATTGCTGAAATTTATTGGTGCCTCAGTATGCATTCATTTATCGATTTAATATTAATCTTGATCTGCCAATCTGTGTTTGTTTGCCAAGATTCACGTTTGGATAAAAGGCTAGTAGGGTAGGCATAGGACGAGAAAACCACGAGGATGGCGGATAGTACAAAATGTGTTACAGGGTGGTCAATAAATAATCTAATGATTAATAAAAACAACTTTATTCTTGGAATGTAACTGAATGTTTTATGAATACATTTTTAAATGCATAACGTACCTAGTAAATAAAACATACCGCGGTGTGATCTCATTTTAAATCTTTACAAACTTTTCGAGTTGAATTTCTAAAAGTTAATTCTGAAAATACTGTACTGTTACGTATACAAAACAATGTTAAAAATATTTATAGTAAAAATAGGAAACATTTGTTTTTAATTTATAATTTTTTCGTTTGCTTGTCAGCTTGTCTCAGAGAAGTGGCCATATCGAGCTGTTTCGAGCGAAGTCTTCCCCAGACGAGGTAGTCTTGGAGTCCGATTATTTGAGCAGCCATGAGGGCAGCGCTGTCTGGGTAGATTACGGTAGCGCAGCCTAATCCGGATGGAACCGACAGTGATGACCAGATGTCCTAAAAGAATGCGAAGTCATTAATAATTTGTGGTTAAAGATATTTATTTCTCAAAAAGATTACAATGCAATCACTTACAGAGAAACATTAATTTGTCTTAATAATAATAAACAATACAAAAACGATTTAGCGTAGCAGTTCTATTAAAAGTGATTTTTTATTTTTATAAAGCAGGTAGGTGCAAATAAAATACAAGCCATCCAGTAAGTCACTGCGCGGCGCGGCGGCGGGCATGAATAGGTACAATTCGAAAACATGTTTTGTACGGGATAGGACACATTTAACATTTGAGCGAGTGGCTTATAGGCTGTTTTCATAATAATTTGACAAATTTGATATTTTATAATGATTTTATGATAAAATAATGATTGTTAGTTTTTGACGTTATATTTATTAATATTATAATTGGTATTAATAAGTGTATTTTATGTATATTATTATTAATTAGTATAATATATTATGTACATATTTGTAATTAACTTACTCATCTTATTAATTATAACTTAATAATGATGATTGGCGGGTTTTAATTTAAAACAAATGTATTAGGTACCTACATTCCTCTACTTGAAGTGGGGTACTGTAATTTGTGAGTGTTGCCATAAAAATAAAATATGTACGCAAATGGTACATATTCAATATTATACTTTGTATGTAATATAATAAAAAACAGATTCTCGTTCAAGATTATGTTACCAAAACAAAGGCGTTGTTTTGCGTGTAGGTTTTTATAAAAAAAGTTTAATTAATGTTTGTAAATATCAGTAAAAAATAGTTATTACATTTAAGTAAATTAGTATTATGATTTTACCTGGACTAGCTTGTCTGAAGGAGGTGGGCAGTTAATGACTGGGTAAGAGGTGTTTCCAGACAAGACTGGCCCCAGTCCGTTTGACCGACCAGCTACAGCTATGAACACCAGAGCTCCATGGGTGTCCTCATATTGTTGCATAATACGAAGAGTTTCTTCGGTAGCCTTGTGAGCGGAGGTGACACGCAAATCAACGTCCAGCCCCAGATCACGAGCAGCTTTAAAAATAAGAATATTAATAAATAAAAATAAGAATATTAATAAATAACTTGCCGTCATCAATCAGCTCTTTAAAAAAAAAGGGTAAAAAGAACCCTTAGTAAAGATGTGGTGGTAATTTAAAATGTTGTGTATCTGTAAATTACCTTTAGCGATTTTTTGGCAATGTTCCTGATCTGCTGGTGAGCCCATGAACACGACCACTTTGTGATGGATGGTCGGCTTCAAGTGGTCGAGTTGATCTTTTACCCAATCAAAGTTACGCTTCACGGTGTCTAGATCGGCTGCGGTCACTGTAGTTAAGTTCCTATACACCTGTGATGAATTAAATATTAGTGATAGATTACAATTTTTTAGATGCTTTGGATGAATTTAAGGGATTTTTTACCTGTTTGTCAACCATCAACCTCTTGTCACCAGAAGGCCAAAGTCTCCAGGAATCAGAGTCGATAACATCAGCAAGCAAGATATTTCCTGGAAGTGAAAAGGCAGGTTTTAAAAAAAACTTTTTCGACATTATTAATAATACTGTTAGTTATAATTTATATTAATAGACTACCTTTATTGTCTACACCAAATTCAATCTTCATGTCAATAAGCGCGCAGTCACGAAGTGCCCATGCCTTTTCCAAAATTTCAAAAACTAGGATAGTGGCCTTTCTCATGTAATCGACCTCATCTTGACCTGTAATGAAAAGAATAGAAACTAAGTTCGGTTGATTCTTTATTTATTACGAATAATTAAGTAAAATCTCTAATGAGGGCTATCGTTTTAGCGCTCACAAGTTAGCGCCACTGTAGAGTAAGGTCCTGTCACTTGCTAGTAACGAAGACAGTGGCGCCAACTTGTGAGCGCTAAAGTGGTAGGAGGACTATTGTATTTGCACTCATCAAGATGGCGCCACTGTAGAGTAAGGTCCTGTCAATCGCCAGGGGTGCCAACTGTTAAGTATAAAAACGATAGCCCTCATTAACTCACCAATCTCAAGACCGTTAATTTTGAACTTAGCACAAACGATTTGCTCCTCAGACCATTGTGGGTCATGGTTGGCATCGTCTTTGAAGAATGTCTCCTGTTTAGGCGGTGTGAAACGGAATCCTTCCGGGACTCCAGGGTTTCTCTTCAGAAATGAACCAGTTGCTAGACGACGAGTCACCCATTCAATCGGAACCATTTCGCATTTCTTTGAAACGAATGCAGTTGGTGAAGCGATCTTTTCGAAAGCAGTTTTGATACCTGAAAATTGAAAAGATTATCATACTTTATCCTGTTGCGATTTTTTAAAATTAAATTTTTTAATTTCCTTTGCAATTATGGATGAGGCTAATCTACGAAATACCGTGGCAATTTATTAGACAGCGGTTGGTTTTATTTTTTTGCGAAATTGACGCCGCATCTCTATATCCAATAACTTTAAAAAAAAATAAAACCGACTTCAAATGCGTGAACACAAAAAAAAACTAAAAATTAAAAATATTCCGTATAAAAAAGTTCATCCCCAATTTTCCACCCTTGGGGGTGAAATATTTTCTTCAAATTCGCATGAAACCACCCTTTTGATAATACCTATTCAACAAAAAAATAATCGTTCAAATTGATTTATAATCGGCGGAGATATTGCGTATAAAAAAGTTCATCCCCAATTTTCCACCCTTGGGGGTTGTTTTTTCTATTATTAAATTTAAATGGGACCACCCTTGAGGTATTACCTATACGCCGAAAAAAGATTTGTTCAAATCGGTGCGTAATTGGCGGAGTTATCGCGTAACAAACATAGAAAAAAAAAAAAACATACGGGTCGAATTGAGAACCTCCTCCTTTTTTGAAGTCGGTTGAAAATTACAGTACTTAGTTAAGGCACAGTTATTATGGTAACTATTTTTTAAAGTATAATGTAGATGATGTCCTTCAAGATGTTTGCTACATAAAAGGTCATAGTCGGTGACCGATAAAATATCATAAACAATGTGTGCTTACAAGTTCATTTATTTCATAACGATATTGAGTAAACTGTAAGCAACACGATGACGTAAGTATGTCAGAAAATATTACTTTGAGAAGCTATATTCTATTATTTGAGTAAATAATTATCACCAGTTATAATGAGCAAATGGATCGCTATGAGGTTAACAATACAAAAACAACGAGATGATAAAACGTATTGATTTCTAGCCCTTGATGACCCGGAGATAATATCTACTTATTTGACCTTATAACTACTTGGTGAGAGAAAAATTAACAATGTTGGTATGTCTTTGCTATCTAGGCAGTTAACAGCAGTAGTTACATTGAAACATGTATTACGGTAGGTAAGTATCTCCAAGAAAGTGCTACGAATAATTAATGTAAAATAAAAAATAAAGCTTACCGGCTGCCTTCAAGATTTCAAAGACCTTAGCGTTGGTTTGGTTGGATATAGCCGCCTTTCCTTCCAAGTCATGAGCCTTAACGCCATCCCCAGCTGTGATTCTATCTTTGTTCAGGAGCAGGCAATGTTCGGGGTATTTGACCAATTCAAAAACTTGTTTGGTTTTACCCTCAATGATAAGTTTTCCAAGTTCATAATCTCCAACTGAAAGAACATATTATTAATAATATCATTAAATACATAAATACTTTTGTTTTATGTTATTTTATTTCAAAGATTTTATTGACATTGCGAAAAATTATGCATTCTTAAATAATGTTTTTACGCAAATAGATAGATCCCTATTGGATTTATTGCAATTTTTTTAAAATATTTTTTTTTAATGCAATCAAAACACAGTGTATGTCATCAGTCATTTAATATTAGAGTAATACGGCAGTAAGTATAGCTTGTGTTCAATGAGATAAAGTTATGTGAAATGTACTGCTGTTGTAGATACTCCACCTGCTATTAGCAATAGCAATATGATAACCCCGGAGATTATTTATGGACTTGTTTTCACAGTAAAAAAGATGTGTTTATTTTATGCATAATGCAGAAAAAGATAACATTTGACTGTCTTGTGGAATCTTTTCATTATTATACATTATTTACATATTACCAACCAATATGTTACGCAACCAATTTTCCCCCCGATAGTTAAAAAGGCGCATCTAACAGTTTTTTTCGGATTATGAGTTAAACTCAAGGACAGCTACTTATGAATTATCTATTTAAATTAATTGATTTTTTTTTATCTCCTTTTTGATTTGGAGGTCGACGCACCCTTTCAACTAGCGGGGACAGATTTTTTAAATAATTTAATACTAACATCTTTTCATACACCAAATCATGAATGAATTTCTAAGTAATATTGGTCCCAATTTCCCAATTAAAAAAACAACGGAGATCAAGTTAGACAATTTACTGACATGAGGTGGGTAAGTAATTACCATTAATACAATGTTTTTAAAAAATTCTAAGGGTTTTTTATATCATACCAACATTTATATCGTATAAAGGGCCAATGAACATGCTTAGCGATTTTTGTTAAACTTAAATGTACATTTTGCTGTACAAATATATTTTTTTAAATGGCAACATTTTACAGCCCTTGAATTATTTTTCAACAAGGAATGACCATGTCCATGACCATAAAATTTATATTGAGGCTAAAAAACACGAACCACGTAAGCCAAAAATGTAAAAAAAAAATTAGAAAGAAAAAAAAATCTTGACATTTATTTTGTTTACTTTCGAAAAGTTGCTGAAAATTTTATCAAACTCAGTTTTTCAAAAGTTTAATACATCTCTGGGGTACCAAGGAAGCATAAAAAAGCTCAAGGTCTATCAGATAATTAAATTATCTTAAATGCTATCTACAAAACTTAGTTGAAACATAGGCTTTTTTAGGTTTTTTGGTGGTAGATAGGTGGTGGTACAACCACATCAAAATAGCAATAATTATGTATTATGCATGCAAGTATTTTTAAATTTAGTTAGTAAATTGATAATTTTATTTATATTAAATATTTTTCAAAGCCATTTAGCTATCCATGGAATACAATGTTTGATTGAATGAGGTTCAATGTTTACACTTCAAGGCCGTATAAATTAATTCCTAACGACAGTCCGACTCATTGAAAAACGACGATGTGTTTAATGAAGTAAAACCGAATAGGTGGCTGTAACCTCTAACTTGTTAGCTTATTGTATAACTTCAACAACGAATAAAAATTACCTTTTTTCGGGTGAGCCATTGTGATTTGCTTTGTTGAAACCGGGACGTATCAAGCTTTTTCGTCGCGCGATGGGTCTACCGCTCAGCGAGGGCCTTTTATAAAGTTTTGATCCAGCATCTGAGCGACGTTACCACGTGCTCCAACTACGCACACGGCCGGCGACTTCTGATAACAAGTTCGGTTTATACTCGGCTCGTGTCTGTTTGATACTTTTGTCTTTTTTTATAATTTTGTTTAAGTGAAAGATGTAAGATAATAGGTAAGCTAACAACTACTACATAATTATACGTATTTAGCGCCATAAGTGTACTACAGTACTAGGGATGTTTCCTGGGTAAAAAAGCAAGAGTTAGAATGAGGGTTTTCGCGATTGAAAAATCCGCCAGATGGCAATACGTAGACGGGAGTTCCAAATGCTGCATGATTGGTGGATTTTGACATAAAATTGACCGATATGTTGTACACCGTTAGTTAACCTATCAAAAAATACTCGACACGAATTTTTCACTTTCAAAATAATGAAAATATAAAGAGGTAAAGTGCGCCAAAGTTCAGAAGAATAGGCCCGTGACGTCATTTTGTGCTTAAATTTAGAACTTTATGACGTCATGCGGAACTTAAACGCATTAAAACTTCGTAATTACTCTTGTTAAATTATCAAGTAAAAAAATACGTGTCCAATATTTTTTAACCATAATAATTGACAGTAGAGATGAAACGGATAGTTGTTTGGCCGGATACCGGAGACCGGATATCTGGCGAGCTGTTTGGGCGGGATGGCCGGATATTCGGCGGCCGGATAGTTGGCCCAGTCTCGTTGCATGTCGTGACGAGTTTAGCGCCGCACAGGTGCGTCTAATGTCATATTTTGCTACTTGTCTAGGGAGCAGATTAATTCGGGAAAAGTTAGTTTTTTGGTAGGCTTTAGCTTTAATAATGGCTTTTTTGTAAGTTTTAAAGCCGTCATTATTATAAGCCACTAGCTTTCTGCCCGCGGCTTCGCCCGCGTGGAATTTTGTCTGTCACAGAAAAACTTTATCGCGCGCGTCCCTGTTTCAAAAACCGGGATAAAAACTATCCTATGTCCATTCCCGGGACTCAAACTATGTCCCTGCCAAATTTCATCGAAATCGGTTGCGAGGTTTAAGCGGGAAAGCGTAACAGACAGACAGACAGACAGAGTTACTTTCGCATTTATAATATTAGTTGGGATTCTGTTGATATTTACCTCACAAAGATTAATGTGTTGCTTTTTATTATAGGAAATTGTCGTATTTTTAATATCCGATATCCGACCGGATAGTAAAAGTTAGGCTGGTTAGGCCGGATATCGGATAGTTACCGGATGTCCGTTTTATCTCTAATTGATTTTAAAAATTGGTTGGATTTAATTATTTTGATTCTGTCCTTTGGTTGGATCTATTCTGGAGTGTAGGATGATTAAGGATCACAACATGTAATGAAACGATTTTTTTTTCTTTTTTAAACTCTAAATAATAATATTCAAGACATTTTGCTCATCACTACCTTAAACTCACGGCTTTTCCATCGCATACCGACGTATATTTTGACAAAACAACTTATGTACTTTTTTTACCAAAAACAAAAAACTAGTAAGTAGGGTGATTGCTATAGTAATTGGCCTCTACATAGNAGACAAAATGAGTTAGGATTACAAAGCGTGAAATTTCAGTGATTTTTATGGGTTTTTTTCGGTGGCTAATAACTGTACTTCTAGGAGCCAATTACTGTGATTTTGGGGCCAATAGCTAAATTTAATGTGATCTCTGATATTTTTATAATTATTATTGTAATTCTTATCGTATAACACCAAATAGGTACTAGCTTAAATAGCAGCAATATTGTTTTCTCATAATAAAATATAAAAAGTAAACAAAAGTCGAGTTTTTGTTACATTTTACACAAGTTAACTTACACAACGCTCTTAAAGGGCCAATAACTGTAGCAATCACCCTAGTACAGAATAAGTGTATGATTTTTATATTCTCATGCTAGTACATTTTAGCAAGTATCAATAATGTTTAGTCGTAGTAGCAATATAGCTATTTCATCTGCCGTAGCTTATCTCATTCGCACAGTTAACTTCAAATTCGAATACATACGACCATTCATTTATTACTTGGTACATTCCGCTACAGTTACTACACGGTAAACAATTATTTGTAGTGAAACTCTCAAGAATCGATTGCTTTTTCAACAAAATATTCAAAGGTAAGTGTTATTCTTGTTTCATAATTTCGACTTCGTAACTTTTCGGTCAGCTGTTGACAAAAAGTTGGTTAACCGACGCAATAAAATAGACACCGTGGTTTTGTGTATTTGCCCCTCATGTTGATACTTTTTACTTCGTATGGTTATCAGTGACATTTGGTGGCCCACATGGTTATGAAAATTTACGATCTATTTACCCAACTTCTTTCAAGATTATCGCAATAAACGAATTAATAAAAACATTTTCTGAGCAGCAATAAAGACTTTATCGTTTTAACTTTGTTACTTCAAGGTTTAACCATATTTTGTTTGAGTTTGCTAGCGTTCATAGATAAAAACTACTAGATCAACATTAGGTACATCACGCACAAATTCACGCAAAAAATTGCGTCCTTTTGGCAGGTGTTCTAAGATTTTCGTTGGATTTTGACCTTTATTTCATATGACACAAAAGATAACTTCTCTTACAAGAAAGTTTCATTGATTTTTATAAACTAAAATCTCTAGTAAATTCGTATTTTATGCTATAGCAAATAAACAATATTTTTTACAGGTTAATTCAGTAGTATTTTTTAATGTTTTTAAGCAAATGTTTCAATGAGGCAATCCTAGAAACTTTTCTAAAAACCATGGTGATAGAAAGTTTTATGGCAAAACATTCTAACACACAGATTGCCACAGTAATTCTCGATTTTTTAGAATTAATTCAATCCTGCAGAAATTGTCAAGATTGAAAACAACAAAGGTTGTGCATGATAATAACTTTTTTAAATGTTTTTCATGAAAGTATCAAGAATAATAATGCACTAATCAAAAAATATTAATTTATGTTTAGAACTATGATACCTTAAACTAAATTAAAATAAATCTGATAGTATTTTACATATTTTTAAAATCTTTAAATTTAAAGCGGTTTCATTGATGGTTATTCATGCATCAATTAAAATGTATGCGACCAGCAAATCTAAATTTAAAATCTTATGATTATGTATTATTATTATTATTCATGTATTCTATTCTAAAATACTAGTTAAAATTATTCATATTGTATCTAAAGTAGTTGATAGATTTGTTTCGCTTGTTACGGTAAACTCAACTTATCTTCAATTTTGATAGTAGCTTACTAATGCTATCTTCTGGTGCAGGGTGTAAAGTACAGCTTATTAAAACTATAACAAGCAGAATAACATGTTACATCTTATTGGAAATTAATGGGATTCTTCCCGGAAGATTCATAGATAATTTCTTGGAGTTCATCGTCACTAAAAATAAAAACCTTCATTTATTTTGCATCTATTCTATGACCAATACAATCAGTTACATAATCATTAAAATATTTTAAAGTTGAATTAAAAAATGATTATTACAAAAAAAATATTATAAGTCCACTTCTTTTACTTTATCCCACCCATTGATTGATTATATTTAATTTTACTGAATTTTGTTCATAGCTAATGATATGATGTTAATAATTTAATAATAAAACAATTTTAGACTAGCTTATTGCCTGCGGCTTCGCCCGCGTGAACTAAGTTTGTATAAAAATGTATACTGTGAAGTTTCATCAAAATCCGTTCAGTATTTTTTGCGTGAGGAAAAATAGGTAATAGGAGTAGGAAGATTTGTGATCTATCCGTGTTTCCGCGCCAGTGCGCGGTGGATGGTTTTAAGACGCGCGGTCCCAGGTTCAGTCACTTGGTTTTGTAGTATGATGTTCTATTCACAAAATGCTCATTTTGTTCATTACATGACATGATAATAAATATAACTTATTTATAGTGTTATGTTTTTTACACATTATTTCATAGTTCACACTCGGCTTTGTAAAGTCAATCAAGCGAGCCCTAGATAATAATAAATTAACAAACAATAAACAACACGGAATGGGCAATATTGCAATAGTTTCTCAAGTTATCGGCGAACGCCTTCAACTAATTGCTCCGTTATTGGCCCACTTGTCAGGGCCTGTCGATGTCCAGATAGGCACAAATAGAAAACAGCAATAATAGCCTAGTAATCAATCTAGGCAGGCCTGTGGTATCGCAATCTGAAATAATTACGGTGAATGGCGGAGGAACTTATAAAATCGAGCTTCGGGAAATTGCAGAACTCGGTAACTCTTTCACAGTGGTATTTTTTGACGGGCTGGCTAGATCTAGAGCAGTGGTTCTTAACCTTTTAAGTCACGAGGGACCATTTTACCAAATTTCTATCATGCCAGGGACCACTTCATTTTTTTTTTCAAAATATTATGAAATGGGAGGTCGATTTCTCGCCCACTGTGCGCCGTTTGCGTTGTGTTGACTTATCACGGCACGTCACTTATTTATTACGATGTCTTCGCGGACCACTTGGAATGCCTCCAGGGACCACCAGTGGTCCGCGGACCACCGATTAAGAACCACTGATCTAGAGTTACCGATTTAATTAACTCCCGTAGACAGCTTTCTTTGTGGACAATTGACGAGTGTAGAGAAGCAATTAGCTAGTCTAGCTACGAGACTCGTAGTACGAGTAACTAATGCCCGTTTTCACCATCAATCCCTAATTTGTAAGGCTGGTTTTAGTGTCACGCGGGCCGTCCGGTGCGGACCCGCTCCGCACGGCCAATCTGTATGAACTTCTAGGGAGCGTTTTAGAGTAATGCGGTCCGGAGGAACCGCTCCGCTCCCTAGCAGTTTATACAGATCGGCTGTGCGGAGTGATCCGCACTGACAGTCCGCGTGACACTAAAACCAGCCTTACAAATTAGGGATTGATGGTGAAAACGGGCATAAAACTCGGAGGGTCGGAATTCCGGATGGTGGAAATGAGAGGTGAGGTGGTGCTAGTTTTCAAGTGATTAAAGAAGCGTTGAGGTTCCTTTATCAGTCCTATGCGGGATGGTGAACGAACTAATCAGGAAAATTCCGGGCTAATAAGTTGTCGAAAGGTCATAGAAATTCATATTACCAGCGAGTAACAGAATACTCTAAGTCAAACTTGTTTGTTACGGTGCTTATTTGCCTTAATTACATAACTAATCATAACTAAGCCCAGCGATCGGGTGGAGCATTGCATCACCGTTGCTTCACCCACGTGTAACCCAATCAATCTGATACCTTACCTTTCGTAACTGACCAAATACTCGTAGCTACTTAAGTACATAGCGAACTTGCAACTTTGTATAACGTATTCTGTGATAGCGTGGGATTCCGAGCCTATTTTTAACTTTCGACTGTCTCAGGTCAGAACTGGAAATCTTTTATCTTTCCTCACGACAAAGCTGAAAACAATAGATATTACGAGGTCATAAACCCAAATATGTATTTACAATTTTTATCAATGTTATTTTTGACGTCGCGACGATATATCACGCACTGTAGGTACCTAGTATTCGGAAAATCTTACGCAAGTTTTAGATAGCTTGACAAGTTAAATATAGCAATCTAGTAGATTACAATAATGATGTCGCATTAATTTCCAATGCTGACTTATCTGCGGTTGTTTGCCGACCCCCTTGTGGAAATATACGCCGGTGTCAGCTGATAAGTGGACCCCTGCGAGCCTAGATCTGATGCCACGCTGCTCCATGTTGCGTTGTTTACCGCGCTATCACCCGAGCTCAAAATATTTGTTGTTTACACCAAAAGTCGCGTTTCGTCAGCGTTATTGCTTGAACTCGACCTCCGTGTTATTGTTTCGATTCGCCAATATAAGATTTTGCAGAGTTATCAGTCGATGACAACACAATACTCTATTTATTGTGTTACCGTGTGAGCATGTTTGGGAATCCAGCGTCGTACCTATGTATCAACAAAAGTTATGCCTACAACTTTATCTAACTTTAATACTGTTCATGAAGTTCACATAATGCTTTAGGAAATTCAAAGGGCGTAGTTTCGATGGGTAGGTCAAGGATACCAATGGATCAATGATAAGATATTGCCTACATATTTGATATTATCCACCTTGGTCAGATATTTACCACAGAGACACCGCGGCACCGTATCAAAGCAACCATGACAAAGGATAGGTAGAGAAACACTTCTGAACGCTGAAATTTTAAAAATTCGCAAATCTGCTGAAATGTTGGTGTCAACGCTACTTACTGGATTAAATCGTAAATAATATTGTATCAAACCTAATATTGATGCAATAAATTGAATTCTGCTATATTGATTAAACGCCAAATCGACGATTTCGTCCGCTGCGGTTTCACTGGCACGCCTATCAATTAGAAATCCTGGTTTCTAGAAGAAATTACATTCATCAATTGCAAACATTGCAGTTAAAATTAATTGAAAACTATTGAACGTTCAAAGTGGACAAACAAAACTAAAAAGGATTTTAACAATGTTTGTGCCAAAGCATTTTGACTAACATCTCGAATTAACTGCATGAGGTATTGGATTTCTTGTTTGCCCTTATTGCCAGTTACAGTCCTTCAATTTTGACTATGACCACGAGGAATAAATAAATGGTGAAGCTAGGAATTGCACAAAAAACCTTTTTGAAATGACAGTGAGTTTTGATGGATGAAATGAGACTTATTGATAACAATGGGCTTCTGGGCTATGGCCATGAACCATTATGACTCCAATTTTGATTGTTTTACGCGCTGATGTTAGACACCTCAGATCATAGAAGGGAATTAGACACTGTAGTTTCATGACGTAACTGTGTAAATTCACAGATCCATTGAAAGCCAATTGTTTGCCAACTCATCGAGCACGTGCTTTTTCATTCAATGCTACAATCTTATCTTCGATTGAATTTATATCGGCTATCTACTCGCAATCTTGTTACCAAGTTGTAATTTTACGCGAAAGTGATTATTTTCAAACACGTGCTGTTATCGATCGACATCAACATCATGTTGGCCCACAAAATTATCGCTCCCGTCTCTACCCCAGAAACTTGATCAATGACGTCTTTCATTTATTGGAATAATAATATTGTTATTGTCATATTGTTCTCCCTTGACGTCAGCGATTGCCTAATCAACTTTATATTATTCATCTTAAAGTGTATAATTGCCTGTTTCTGCGCATGCGATTATTTTTTATTTCGAACTGCTGTTATTGGGATAGTATCTAGCGCATGTTTTGTTCCTTTATCGGTAATTGTGGTGTTATTGGCATTAAAAAGAACGTTGACGTCGCTTATAACGTTAAGACACGCTCGTGTTGAGTTAGTGAGTGTCCTACATTAGTGAGTTTATGTTCTGTAGGTCCATAATTAGTAGTGTTTCAAGACATATCAGTCGTTTCCCTCTTTGTTTTCGTTTGATAGTCATTTTGAAATCGAAAGTGCATCTTGTAAGTTGAACCACGATAACAGGTTGGTGTTTACATTATGAATTCAATATCAGTGCTTATTTTTAGGCAGTTTTAAATTTAAGTATTGCATTTGGCTTACGTAATTATCTCCATTATCTTGCACAGTTTCATAATACTGTAATTATCTTTATGGATTGAGATAGTATTTGCGGACTTTGTATGGTTAGGTTCTGGCTAATTGTGTGACCTATCAGTAAAATAGGGGAGTCCCCTAAAATTTTATTCAACAATAACATTCCTTGTTCAGGATGTATACAAACAGAAGTCTATTTCCTGTAATATTCCTGGAGTTCTTTTTATAGTGTTTTGTATCAGTCGATAACAATAATTTTGTAGTTGAAGCTTATGACGCCTTGTTCTTTCTAGATTTGTTTTATTATTTATGTTCAGTCAGACTTTAGGTCGACTAGTTCTCTCGTATCGTTGGATCAGTACGGACTTACCAGTATATCAGTACGGTTTTACTTCAGTATTTTCTTTTTTCTTGCCAATTTTTTTTGAAAGTTGTTAAGGACTCAAAATAGTTCCCTGACGGCACCTTTTTAACTTAAATTCGGACTACATACATACGAAAACCATACCTTTTTTTAAATTGTAAGTGAAATTATTTTCTTATTTACGTTTCAACCAAAGAACATTCAATGCTGGATAGTTCAAGAATTTCCATAATGACCGGTCCTGCGCACCATTAGGTATTCCGGGTGGGTGGTTCCCGCGACCTTCTTCAGATCGTCAGTGCAGTCTGAGTTTCGACTTTCCTTATCGTCTAGATTATTGTCTGTTTTCTTTGACGTATATCAAGGAAATTACACAAATGGAGCAGTTTCCAAATGCTTAAACCTTCTAATAATTCATCATCATCATCATTTCAGCCATAGGACATCCACTGCTGAACATAGGCCTCCCCCAATGATTTCCATGTTGATCGATTGGTAGCAGCCTGCGTCCAGGGCCTTCCTGCTACCTTAATGATGTCGCCGGTTCACCTTGTGGGTGGAAGTCCCACGCCGCGTTTTCCGGTACGCGGCCTTCATTCCAGAACCTTGCTGCGCCAAACGGCCGTCAGTTCTGCGTACTATGTGCCCTGCCCGATTCTGGAGTGGAGGCCGCGTACCGGAAAACGCTATTAATTATTACTATTCATCTATTGTCTAAATGTTTCATCCTGTTCATTCCAGACCAACCATAGTCAGTCCGTAGGACTTCATCTGATGTCTTTAAAATTCCATTGTCTAAATGTTTCATCCTGTTCATTCCAGACCAACCATGGACGGTCCCTCAGGACCATCTCCATGCGAGCTGCGCGTCCACACAGATGCGTCAGAAGACAGACTATCAGCTGGAAGCGGTGACAACTGCCAGTGCAACAAAACACAGCCCGAGGTGACCCTGAAGGGCAAGCGGTTGGGCAGGGGAGCGGTGGAGTCAGGTAAATACTGTTCGGAAACAGTTTCTTGGTTAACCTTTTTAATTTTAAACCTCTTTCCCCCTTATTAATAAAAAGTTATACCCTAGTTGAACTCTGGCTTAAATTGTCATTCAGTATGGAAATATCATTTTATTAATCTAGAGTTCATCCTAAGTGTAACTATTTAATAATATGGGGGCTTAAGTTTAAAATGACGCATTGGTCAGTTAGTGATTGGGGAGTTGGGTTTTCTCGATCTGGAATTTGATGCTATGATCCACAAGTAAACATTTTTGATTTTAGGACAGTGGAACCAAGTGGAACATTTCCTAAATCGTGCTCTAGTGCTTGACTGACTAACTTGAGTCAATGGAGTCAAATTTTAATCTGCTTTAATCTTGTTTTTTAACTTCAGATTCAGATTTTACTCCCTCACAGATACTTATCCCCTTACTAATAAAACTTACACGGTCGTTGAACAGTGTTTTAAAGTGACGTTTAGTAAGGAAATGTCATTTTAAAACAGTGTTCAACAACTGTAACTTTTTATTAATAAGGGGGTTACAATACAAATAATACTAAATTATTATGGTAACTATAACGAATCTAGGAAGCATTGCGGACATTTGCATTTTTTCCTGGATGTTATACCTAATAAGTATGCATAAGGATAAATTAATTCGAAAATGATCAAATAACGTATTATCTGTCATATGACCTTAGTTAAAATATCACGTGATTGAACTCGATAAAGTAATCAGGCAAGATACCCAACTATTATTATCAGTCAATGATGAAACTTCTCAAAGGTCACAGAGCTGTGACGAGCGAGATAGCAGATAACTGCGCTGTACTGGACTACCGTTTATATGACAAAAAACAATTGAGAGCTATTCTTAACAATTGACGAATTGAGGATATTTTTTAATCTTTAAAAGTGGCCAGTTAGATAATTAGGTCACCATTATCCTGTTTTGGGTCAAAAACTTTAAAGTAACGCCTTTTTATAAAAGCTATTAGAAATAATTTCAACATACTGTTAAGTGAATTGCTAGATAAAACACGATAATATTGTTATATCTCGAAATTAACTTGTATTCATTATAATTAATTAGATGGGTATTATTCCATTCAATCTGTAAAATCGGGTGTTGATAACAGAATTCTAATTTCAAGACGGGTCAAGGGAAAACTCCATTCGACCCGACCCGTTCCGACCACGATGAAATCTTCATTAATTGTGGAAAACTGCACTTTGGTTGGCAAAAATGTATAGGTAGGTACTATAGTATCTTTGACTGCCTTGTAAAAGTCACACTACCCATAAGTCGAAAAGTTGCCAAAAATATCGCAAAAGCTAATAAAACACTACATAATCATCACCTCTCAAATGCGGCCCGTTTTTTAGAGACAGCAAATTTTTTCAGAGAAATAGATTGTCCGACGTGAATGTGACAGGATGTATTTTCCTGCAGGTCTCACACACGAATGCGGCGTGTTCGGGGCCATTGGCACGGGCGAGTGGCCCACGCAGGTGGATGTCGGGCAGGTCATCTGCCTGGGGCTGGTCGCCTTGCAGCACAGGTACTTACCCTTTGGTCTACAGGAGCAGTGTGTTTGAAATTATATCCATGACATAAGATTTTAAACTTTCGCGTTCCATTTTAACTAAAATAAAAAGACACGGGTTTCAACGCGACATTTCCCAATAGCCGCCAGTCTGCTTGTGATTGACTAGCGGCCGCCCGCGACTTCGTACGCGTGGACGGGATCCACGCGTACGAAGTCGCGGGCGGCCGCTTTTATCCCCTTCATCTATCTTACATATAAATGTTTTTGCCCGCTAACTCCCGTTCTCGTGGGAATTTTGCAATATCCTGTTGTATCTAAGCTTTAATTTTACTAAGGTTCATGCATGCCAATTTCAAGCGTATAACTTAAGCGGTTTAGATTTTTCATACAAAAGGAATTTCGGGAATTCCTTTCTTAGTGCACCTCTACGGTACCTAAGCTACGTCCCTTCCAAATTTCAAGTGCCTACGTTTAGCCGTTTAGGCTGTGCGTTGATCTGTCACTAAGTCAGTCAGTTTCCCCTTTTATATATTTACATATCATTGTTTCAGAGGACAAGAATCTGCCGGTATAGTGACGTCAGAGGGCAAGAGTGCGCGCACGTTCAATTCTCACAAGGGTATGGGGCTCATCAACAACATATTCAACGACGAGGCCATGAAGAAGTTAAAGGGCAACCTCGGCATTGGACACACGAGGTGACTATCAATATCTTGCGTTGCTTCATCTTTGCGCTGGCCCATTTGTTGTCTCGAAGCAGTGGTAGTAGGGTTAAAGTAATACTGGGCATTACTGGGACGCGCTAAAAGCACTTTTCGAAAGCTTATTTGCAGAAAAAAAACTTATGACTTTCAAAAAGTCCGATCTGATCTCAAAATTTTGGTGCTCAAATTGACATAACTTTTTGTGTGTCGATATCTTAAAAACACTACTTCATTATAATAGACATATCACCAAAATACCTTAAATGCTGCACAAAGGCTTCCCCCAAGAACTTCCACGACGACCGGTAACCACACCGGGTCCGTCCTAAGACCTTACCGAATACCGACCCTACTACCCTACGTCTTCCGGTCTGTAATCGCTACTTGATATCATTTCTGACCCAAGCTATGCCCCGCCTACTGCCATTTACTGCTGGCTATGTTGGTTACTTTGGTTCCCCTGCGGATCTCCTCATCCTATGAATATTATTATTTTTGTTTTTTTTTGGGCCTTCATTTGCGCCAGCTCGACCAGGTTTGATCTATTGTGGCAGCCCTTGTGTTTAGAGTTCACTGCTTAGTCCCGTTGAGTCTATAAATTTCTAGATTCTTTGGAGCGTGATATCTGCTCTCATCCGGGTGCAGGATGTGTCACCCGAGATGGATACTTCTTTTGGTCATAAGCGATCCTATGAATAAGTGTAGTTGCCTGTTAGTAATAAATGATTTCCTCCCAGGTATTCGACGTCGGCGGCGTCAGAAGAGGTGAACTGCCAGCCGTTTGTGGTCCACACGGCACACGGCGCGCTGGCCGTGGCACATAACGGCGAGCTGGTCAACTGCAGCAGTCTCAGGAAGATGGTGAGTCTATATCAATCTTGTTTCGATCTGACGGCGGCGATCTGGCGGTCTCGTGCTAGATGGGAGTCTTAAGGCCACCTTCTATCAACGGGAACGCGTGGTAAGTAACTTGCTTCTGAATGTATTGTAACTTCCAACTTTTTATATTTTTAAACCGGCAGACAGTGGTGACTTCTTCTCAGCACTTGCCAAATGTTTGTCTCGAAGCTCTGGTAGGGCAAAAAAAGAATGAGACATGTATAGGCTCCTTAAGAGCATTTGACGATTTGTAAGTACTAATTTAATTTATTAGTCTAAACTCTAAACAAATAAAGATAATTGATTTTGACGTTCTTAAATATATAAAAAATCTCAGTCGACTCCCCCTCCCGGATCAGGTGATTCCCCTCTCCCCTTTGGTCAGACGACCCTATTCCCCCAGATTGGAATCCTTAAGAGAAACTGGTAATTTGACCTCCAACTGCTGGAACATAATACTGCTTTTAATATTGTTGGCAATTGACTTAGATGGTGGTAGCTAGCCAAGCGGACTTAGAACACCCACCTAACTGAGCACAATTTTGCTCCCATTGGGAATAGAACTCTGGATCAATGATATAATGTTTGCAGGTATTAGGGCGCGGCGTTGGTCTATCCACTCATTCGGACTCGGAGCTGATCACGCAAGCGCTTTGCCTCAATCCGCCTGAGGGCGAGACCAACGGGCCCGACTGGCCCGCCAGGATCAACCACCTCATGAGGTAAACAAATGGCGTCCTTAACGCAAGGCAGTAGAGTTCAATATACGGTCCACGCACTCGGACTTGGAGCTGATCACGCAGGCGCTTTGCCTCAATCCGCCCGAGGGCGAAACTGGCCCGCCAGGATCAATCACCTCATCAGGTAAACAAATGGTGTCCTTAACGCAAGGCAATAGAGTTCAATATAACGCTCAACGGACTAGGAGCTGATCACGCAGGCGCTTTGCCTCAACCCGCCCGAGGGCGAGACCAAGGGGCTGACTGGCCCGCCAGGATCAACCACCTCATGAGGTACAGAACAAATTCTAATTGTTGTTGGACATTATCACAAGGCAATAAAGTTCAAAATAATGGTCCACGCACCTCATGTGGTAGAGGACAAGTTTTTATTGCTTTAGACCCTTATCACAAGGCAATGAAATTCAAAATATTGGCCCACGCACCTTATGTGGTAAAAGACAAATTTTAATTGCTTTTGACTCTTAACACAATAAAGATCAAAATAATGAGGTACTGGACACACCCATAGGCGACACTCTAGTCTATTCCAGTTAAAATATTATTGTAGTATTCCCGAAAAGGACGGATCACACCCATTAAAACCTCCGTGACGTTTTGTCATCACCCGAATAGCGGTGTTAGGAGTATCCAGCCGAAGATACACGTGCCAATTTATTATTCATTTTATAGATCGTTTCATCCACGAAGACGCGCTACACCAATTTTCGTTGGAAGAAAACGCGGGGTGCGGGGAGTTTGATCCGAACAATTCGAGCGTCATTATTGTAGTGTGCGTGCACTCATGGATAATTTAGACACTTACCCCCTTACTAATAAAAAGTTACACAGTTGTTGATCACTGTTTTACTACGTCACTTTAAAACACTGATCAACGAGCGTGTAAGTTTTATTAGTAAGGGGGTTAAACATTAGCGGAAGAATGGTGGGGCGCGATCTATAATTTACCTAAAATCCAATAGCTCCCAAGTTAACCAGGGGAATTACACGAAATTGAACTCCAAGTCCGTCCACAGGCTAGCCCCACTGAGCTACTCGCTGGTGATCATGCTGAAGGACAAGATCTACGCAGTGCGTGACCCCTACGGCAACCGGCCGCTGTGCCTCGGCAAGATACTGCCGCTCGGCTCCTCGTGTAAGTACACAGCTGCATGTATTTTAATATTTAAGGCTCCTTTTGTCCACTAAAGCGGAGTCGATACAAGAGGAGACGAGATTTGTTATAAGCAATCCCCGCTCCCCGTACCGGAAAGCGCAGCGTAGGACGTCCACCCACAAGGTGGACCGACGACCGCATAAAGGCAGCGGGAAGGCGCTGGATGCAGGCCGCCACCAACGGGCCATTGTGGAAATCATTGGAGGAGGCCTATGTTCAGCAGTGGACGTCCTATGGCTGAAATGATGATGATGAATCCCCGCTCAGCTTAAATGAAACGGTAACGCGAGCGGAGACAAAGTACCGTCCAATAGTCTGTCGAGGGTCGTCGTAACGTCGTCGTCTCGCCAGCGCCTGCGCAGCGTCTGTCCTGATATGGCGTTTGGGAATCGCTGGCGAAACGACAACGTTACGACGACGCTCGAAAGACGATTGTGTCCTAAGGTGTCATTTACACATTTTGCATTTTTCACGTGTACTAGCATGTCATACATTCTGTAACTGTATTATCATATGTAACTACATCTGAGTTGGAAATTGGAATTGTGTAAAACAATCGTAATCATTTGACATTTCATAACGTACCATAAAGTCAGACAAACAAAGCGTTTGACAGAATAATCGTACGTTATGAACTGTCAAATGATTACGATTACTTTACACAATTCCACCTCTGATGAGACATGACTTGTGTTAACATCAGCTGTTAAAAAACTACGGGTTAATTTTATCTGATTGTGCACATTTCTTACACCATTACGCACTCTTTATACAGTGTTTTGTGGATTACGTTAGTAAACTATTGCAGTCATACTTTTCTTTAAAGACCCGTTACAACCAGATTGAGCTAATAGCGCACCTCGCCGAATTACAAATCCCCTTCCCACTCAACCGCACACCCCGTCCATACCAGAGCGTCGATGTGACGTCACGGCCAGGTGCGCTGTTAACTTAACAGGGTTATATGTTACCAACAGGGTTAACGACGTCATTTCCACTTCAAGTGATGACTAACAACAAATTGCCTGTCTGATGAATGATGATGAAATGTTTTTTCCAGATGTTTACAAACAGTCATCAGCGCAGCATGCCGCGGGTAATGCATGAACTCATTTATCACTTAACATTACATTCAGTTGCATCATTCATGAATTGGGAATATTTGAGAAAATTCCACATTTGGTTAAGCGTCATATCATATTGCGATTATGTTTTAATAATGAGATTAAAAAGATTCTTTGTATTAATGATGACTAACAACATTAGACTGAATAAATCATGGGAACACAGAATCAGCATTTATCTTGGGTCATATTTAAAAATCGAGTTATAACTATTGAAGAATTCTTATTGACTTCAATTAAGGTACTATTTTTAACCACAATGCGAAAGCTCTTCGCCTTCTTCTCACCTCATTGTTATTATTAACATTTTAGTCTTACAGCTAAAGATGGAATCGAATGTTCCCTGGAATACTTAACCACCGAGGAATTTGCTATCTTACTTACCTGTCAATAAAATAATAACAGTTTACTTTTATGTTGTGTTATCTGCAGCACACCAGATATTGACCTTAGATCGCTTGTGTTCACAGTCCTAATGAACGGTTGTGCGAAGAACGGGATGGACGATAAGGCCGAAGGCTGGGTGGTGTCCTCAGAGTCATGCGGATTCCTTTCCATTGGTGAGTATGTAATAGCAATTTAATATTTTTATGTATAATAACTAGTACCTATAATGTTGCAATGCCTTACAGGGCCATGTTTCGGGACTGCATTATTATTTAAGATCCAAATGTACCAACATGATGCAATAAACATTTATGACTATGACTATAAATAGTAGATGTCAATAAAATAGATACAATAAATTAAATATCATGAAAGCATTGGCTGGTGAATGGGGGCTATTCTTTCCTTTATCAAACGAATATGCCCGTATGGTACAGTAAGCGTCAAAATGTGAAACGCAAACTAGCCAAAAAGTTCGCAACACGTCTTTGTTACACTTTGGGTGTCTCGAACTATTTGACGCTACTGTACCACGTGGCAAAGAATATAGTATCTTCAAGTAGCTTTGAAAATAGCGATAGCTGATTCTTGTGGCCTAGCGTTATATGATTGCGTTAACAATATCCCTTTACCAGGCGCGCGCTACGTTCGCGAGGTGCTACCAGGCGAGATCGTGGAGATGTCGCGGCACGGCATCCGCACCGTGGACGTGGTGGAGCGGCCGGCCGGCAAGCAGCAGGCCTTCTGCATCTTCGAGTATGTTTACTTTGCACGGGCTGATAGTATGTTTGAAGGTAAGTGACTGTTTTGTAGCGTTTTTAAAGAATGATAGTAATGTATTGCACTGATGGAGTTAGGGAGGGCTATGCTCGCAGTGTTTCTTTACGAACGAAATCGAATCAAAATGAAGAGATCCGTAAAAAATTATATTCGCTGATATAGCCGGGTGCGCCAAAGTTCACCTAAATTTTCAACTCCGAAAATTGGAAGTCCGAAAATGTTCTTCCTAAAATTTTTCATCCTAACAATCACAATTCCTAACTACTCTGTCTCTAATGTTCATAATTCCGAATCATTCAACTTCATAATGTCATTAGCAATAAACATCTATTACACTTTTATTTGTTCTCCTAGATTTTCTAAACATAACCATATTTTACACTATTATTCAAAGTCATTTCTTTTTTGTTTAGATTTCTTTCTTTAACGATATATTAAAGTTCAAGTTTGTTGGCATTAGCACGTATACTTGAGTCCCGCTCCAGTCATTCAGTCAAGTTCCAGAATCGAATCGGTCCTATTCATAATTATTGGTTTAGGTTAGGTTAGAACTGTGACCACAACGCACGAGCCGAGCGAGCGAAGCCAGAGTCCCGCTCCAGTCATTCAGTCAAGTTCCAGAAACGAATCGGTCCTATTCATAATTATTGGTTTAGGTTAGGTTAGAACTGTGACCACAACGCACGAGCCGAGCGAGCGAAGCCAGAGTCCCGCTCCAGTCATTCAGTCAAGTTCCAGAAACGAATCGGTCCTATTCATAATTATTGGTTTAGGTTAGGTTAGAACTGTGACCACAACGCACGAGCCGAGCGAGCGAAGCCAGAGTCCCGCTCCAGTCATTCAGTCAAGTTCCAGAAACGAATCGGTCTATTCATTATTATTGGTTTAGGTTAGGTTAGAACTGTGGCCTTACGTTTTATTCGCGAAGAACGTACTTCTGTACGTAGTATTTATTATTATTCTACGGTATGAGTGAAAATATTATGGTAATGTTTAGGGATAAAAGTGTTATGATAAAAAACAGTAGGAGTTTAAATATATTTACATAAATGATATTATCAATTAAAATTTTCGGAAACATGAGTGTTATGAACATCGCCGGTAGCACTACAAATAGTATGAATGAAAACTTTAGGATGAAAAGTTTTAGGAAGAGTGATCATTCGGATTTAAAATCGTTAGGAAGAACAATTTCGGGTAAATAACTTTAGGTGAGCCAATATGGACCCGATATAGCCCGATGGATTAGTAAGCTGAAATGGCAATGGGCAGGGCACAACAATGTACGCAGAACTGACGGCCGATGGGACAGGCAAGGTTAGGCTATATTGTAGCAGCGAGAGACGTCCCACCCACAAGGTGTACCGAAGGCCTCGTAAAGGTAGCAGGAAGGCGCTGGATACAGGCCTCTACCAACTGGTCAATCTAGAGATCATTGGGGTAGGCCTTTAACGTTCTGTGACTGAAATGATGATGATGGTTTCACTCATTCACAATAAGATGCCCCGATGACCATGTCGTAGAGGATGCCCACTGTCCACCTACCTGGTGGTCCTCAGTGGCGAAGGACTTATCTTGCCCAAACAAATGTTTTGATAATCCAGGACAGATAATCCTGGCACAGTAAAACGAGGAGAGCCGAGCCCAAATAATAGGAAATGGCTAGGACAAAGAAGAAGATGATTTTACTCACTCTAAAAGTTATAACGCTCGTATTCACAAACATTACTATGAGGTCTCACAGTGCGCGTGGACACACAGGGTTACACACGAACCAATCACAGAGATCTATTCAACGCTGTGCATTCGATTTGCTGCTTTACTTCAGCAAGAATCGTTTGTGAATACGGGCATAAGTCCCATGCAATGTTATTTTACTAAAATTTACAATATTACCTATGGTGTCATCAGGTCAAATGGTGTATTCCGCGCGTCTTCAGTGCGGGCGCATGTTAGCGCGCGAGTCGCCTGTCGACGCCGACATCGTGTCGTCCGTGCCCGAGTCCGGCACGGCAGCTGCACACGGCTACGCCAGACAGGTAGGTTGATTAGGAAAACTGTCCGATTGACTGACGATTTTAATTTTAAAAAATTGTCTTTACAAATGACTAATTTACAAATTCATAGTTATGTTACGTACGAGTAAGTTCACCACAACCGCAATATTCCAGCAACGCGGTGGGGTGATAGTGACTGGACTGGGTCCATATTGGCTCACCTAAAGTTATTTACCCGAAATTGTTCTTCCTAACGATTTTAAATCCGAATGATCACTCTTCCTAAAATTTTTCATCCTAAAGTTTTCATTTATACTATTTGTAGTGCTACTGGCGATGTTCATAACACTCATGTTTCCGAAAATTTTAATTAATAATATCATTAATGTAAATATATTTAAACTCCTACTGTTTTTTATCATAACACTTTTATCCCTAAACATAATTACCATAATATTTTCACTCATACCACATAATAATAATAAGTACTACGTACAGAAGGTTTTCTTCGCGAAGGTAACGTAAGGTCACAGTTCTAACCTAACCTAAACCAATAATTTTATGAATAGGACCGATTTGTTTCTGGAACTTGACTGAATGACTGGAGCGGGACTCTGGCTTCGCTTGCTCGACTCGTGCGTTGTGGTCACAGTTCTAACCTAACCTAAACCAATAATTATGAATAGGACCGATTCGTTTCTGGAACTTGACTGAATGACTGGAGCGGGACTCTGGTTTCGCTTGCTCGGCTTGTGCGTTATGGTCGCAGTTCTAACTTAAGTTAAACCAATAAATTATGAATAGGACCAATTCGCTATACACTTCCTCAAATATACGTGCTAATGCCAACAAACTTGAACTTGAGACAAGTAATATTATCGTCAAAAAAAGAAATCTAAACAAAAAAGATATGACTTTGAATAATAGTGTAAAAGATGGTTATGTTGAGAAAATATAGGAAAACAAATAAAAGTATATTAGATGTTTATTGCTAATGACATTATGAAGTTGGATGCTTCGGAATTATAAACCTTAGAGACAGAGTAGTTAGGAATTGTGATTGTTAGGATGAAAAATGTTAGGAAGAACATTTTCGGATTTCCAATTTTCGGAGTTGAAAATTTAGGTGAACTTTGGCGCACCCGACTGGACTGGATGAAAATACCACAGATCATCGGTCCGAACTTGACCTTCACTGGTCGGGTTTTTACTGGCGGATAACTTCCTGGTTACTTACACAGGAGTTGCAGCGGTAGGAACGACACGTGGTAATATTTCTGTGGATGAAAATACCGTTTTTGAGATCTGTATTGCCTGATGGTTCTTAAACATATGTAACAGAGTATGTGCTTGCGCAAAGTGATGGAACCTTACCTCTCTTGAATCGAACCTACTCAGCTAAAATAGTTAAGTTTCATGGAACCCAAAAAAATAATATCTATTTTCCACAGTCCGGCATCCCATTCATGGAGGTACTGTGCAAGAACCGCTACGTGGGCCGCACGTTCATCCAGCCGTCCACGCGCCTGCGCCAGCTCGGCGTGGCCAAGAAGTTCGGCGCGCTGTCCGAGAACGTTCGCGCTAAGCGAATTGTGCTCATCGACGATTCCATTGTTCGCGGCAACACTATCGGACCTATTATCAAGTTGTTACGTGATGCGGGTGCTGCTGAGGTAAGAAACGCTGCTTATACTGCTGTTCTTTCTAGGTATTTAAAGTGTATTTATTTATTTACTTAAAACTTATATGCACATAAATCACAGTACATAAGGCGAACTTAATGCCATCCGAAATTCTACTCATCATCATCATCTTTATCTTAAAGCCAAACTGTACAGTGTAAACAAATTGTAGAGAAATACTAGATAACAATCCGATCGCCGTACGTGGAACGCTCTTAGCGACCCAGACGCCTGTTTCCATCGACAACAACTCCACCACATAACATCAAGCAAGATGCCATTCTCGCCAGCGGAGACCTGCCATTCCACTCGATCTATTCCGTCTCCAAAAACCTATATTAAGTGAGGTTCGAGTCCTACTTGGAGGTCCGCTCTTAAACTCGTACCCCCTTACTAATAAAAAGTTACATAGTTGTTGAATACTGTTTTAAAACATTTCCATACTAAACGTCATTTCAAAACACTGTTCAACGAGCGTGTAAATTTTATAGTAAGAGGGTTAATTTTGAAATAGAGAGCCAAAGAGTTTTTATACTAGAGAGCCCTCAGCGCTCATCTATTGCCTAGTTTAGCTGGATAAGCCGCCAAAAGTTACCGGCAGTTATTCTTAAATGGGTTTCCCAGAGAAAACTTCCACCACTCGTATCATACGGAAGTTACCAGCAGTTATTTCAGCAAGGTTCTGGAATGGAGGCCGCGTACCGGAAAATGCAGCGTGGGACGTCCACGACATCGTAAAGGTAGCAGGGAAGCGCTGGACGCAGGCCGCTACCAATCGATCAACGTGGAAAGCATTAGGGGAGGCCTATGTTCAGCAGTGGACGTCCTATGGCTGAAATGATGATGATGATGATAATTCTTAAATGGGTTTCCCATAGTTGTCCCTATTGGTCTATTCGTCATATACTTGGTTCTTTAACTAACGGGTCGTGTGGTTGCAGGTGCACATCCGGATAGCGTCGCCGCCGCTGAAGTATCCGTGCTACATGGGCATCAACATCCCGACGCGCGAGGAGCTCATCGCCAACAAGATGGACTCCTTCAAGCTCGCCGAGCACGTCGGTCAGTACTCACGCTTTATTCAAACTACTAGTGTCCCGCCCCGGCTACACACGGTTGCAATGGAATTTCCCGGCTTTTCTCTTCTATAATATACATGTTTTGTACCTATAAACCTTCTTCTTGAGTCACACTATTTATTTAAAAAAACAACAACAAAATCCGTTGCGTAGATCTAAACATACACAGGGACAGACAGCGGAAAGCGACTGTTTTATATCTCTATGCAGTGAAGTAGGCTTTTTTAAAACCACTTTTATGCGTCCCTGTATAAACCCTACCACTGCTTCGGGACATTAAATGGGCCAGTGCTGAGAAGAAGCAGCGCAAGAAATTCAACCACTATTCGATAAATAATGTTTCTTTGGTAACAAATTCGATAGCTCAGTTAAACGGTGGACTGCTGGTATTCACTGTCACCCGTAGGTCGCTGGTTCAAATCCGGCTCGAAGGACCAACAAAAAGGATTTTAATAAAAGAGTGGGCTGTATAAAAAAGGTTTTGATGGATATTGGTAGTTGTACATTTCTAGTAACATAAGAATATCTACGTTTTCTTCTCCCTATTATAGTAGCAAAGCTATGATGTCACTATTAGGTTGACAGAATCAGTAACATTGCATTTCCATTCAAGCAAAAATAATCTTAATTCCAGGTGCGGACAGTTTAGAGTACCTAAGCGTAGAAGGTCTGGTGAGCGCAATTCACTACAACATGAAAGCCACGCCGAGTGACGGCGTCGGCGGCCATTGCACCGCCTGTCTTACCGGGGATTACCCTGGCGGCCTGCCTGAGGATATGGACTGGTAGTGTAGGTGTACTGTGGACTGGATCATTAGTGTACTGGAGAAAGGACGAATTTCGTGTGAGGAACATCTTTAGTGTACTGAGGAACATGAAACATCTTTGGAACAACTTTTAATGGACTGAGAGACACACAGCTTCAAGTGCCCTGGAGAATATCTCGAGTAAAAGATTTAGTGTACTGGGGAACATCTTTAGTGTACAGAGGAACATCTTTAGTGTACTGAGGAACGACAACAATTGACTGAGGAACAGCTTTAGTGTACTGAGGAACATATTTAGTTTACAGAGGAACATCTTTAGTGTACTGAGGAACGACAACAATGGACTGAGGAACAACTTTAGTGTACTAACGAAAATCTTTAGTGTACTGACGAACATCTTTAGTGTACTGAGGAACATCTTTAGTGTACTAAGGAACAGCCTCAGTGTATGTATGTTATGGAGTCAATTTTAACAGGTTTTCGAATGAAAAATATTTTGTTTGGAGTTGATTTAATACTCAAACTCAAAATGAATATTTTAGTCTTTTTGTCCAGTGTAATTTTACAAGCTTTTGGCTTGATACTAAATTAGGTAATAACGTGAAAATGGGACCATCAGAAGCTTATCGCGGTATTGTTAGATAAATATAAGAATTATTTACATTGTTATTTTAAAATACCTATGTAATGGTGGGTTTGTAAACTCTAAAGTTTTGAACTTTACCTATTTGAATTGTAGAAAATACAGCCTTGGCCAAAAGTATTGAGCACCCCCTAAATACTGCTTATACGTGATAACTATAAAAGATACTCAAAGATATTTGATAAAAACCTTTCTTTGACAGGTTTTGAAACATAAACTCACGGCACAACGTGCAATAAAACACGTTTCGAGATGTTTAGCTATGATACTGTAGTATTGTTAGTCTTTGAAAAATCATAAAAAATCTTCTTCCGACCTCGCTGCTGAGTTATCAGCTGAAATTAATACGCCGATTTCTGGAAGAACAACTCGCAGAAGACTCCAAGAAGCTGGGCTTAAGGGCTATACAGCCAGAAAGAAGCCATGGCTCTCAGTAAAGACCAAAACAGCTCGTTACGAGTAGGCTTTAAAATACCAAACTTTTACCGAGGAAGATTAGAAAAATATTGTGTGGTCAGATGAATCAAACTTTGAGGTAAGTTAGCCAATATCATGTAATAACAATACGCGACAATAATATTATAAAACTATATTTGTAAAAATAAATATTGGACCGAAAAACACTTAACAAAATTTCGTTACTTTATGATTGTTGGCACACCTGGTGTGACATTTGTCCGTCGTCGAGTAGACGAAGAATTTACCCCGGAGTGTAAGGTACCTACCGTCAAACATGGCGGCGGCAGTGTGATGGTCTGGGGGTGCATGAGCGCCGCAGGAGTTGGGGAAATGTTTGTGTGTGAAGGACGCATGGACTCTACAAAGTACATAAACGTTCTTGAATCCGCACTTCTGCCCTCGTTTACAACACTTTTTGGTGACACCAACATGGAAAGCGTCAAATTCCAGCAGGATAACGCACCTTGTCACAAACGATGGCTTGGTTTAGTGACAATAACATCGAGCTGCTTGAATGGTCTGCCCAGTCACCAGACCTGAACCCCATCGAGCATTTGTGGGGTCTATTGAAGGACAAGGTCCGGCGCCATTGAATAAAAACAAAAGAAGACCTAAAACGTCGCTTGCGGGAAGAGTGGAACGCTTTAACATGTGACGATTGTAATAAATTAGTACAATCTTTACCAAAAATAACTTCTGCAGTAATTAAGGCAAAGGGTGGTCCAACAAAGTATTAATTTTTTGTTGTTAATAAACAATATAATACTGTTAAAAACTGTTTTTATTCAGACACATGTATAATACCTTCAAAATTAATAAATATCATGGGTGCTCAATACTTTTGGCCAAGGCTGTATATCATAGGTAAATTTTTCAACGCAAAGTCCAACCATGTCATGGATAATGTCAAAAATGTACTAATTAGGTGTTCTCTTTTTTCCTTATGATAAAAAGAATCACTGTTAAAACCAAGATCTGTTAAAAACCTCAATAGTCTTACGTTCAACAAATTAAATATTGAATTTCAAGCTGTCTTTTTCATGTACTAAGAAGTTAATGAGATAGTTTATTTATACTTAAGGTTTTTTAAATTAGATAATGATAATTGTGTGTCAATTATGCAGAGTGCGGTTAATATACAATTGGAAAGTACACTATTTATACATTCCTATATTATATTGTGTCAACAAAACCCTATTTTATATCCCCTAAGTGCCTTATTATTAGATATTTCTAAATCTATGTTATTTTTTTATGAAGTCGTGCTGGTTTCGACTATCGAATATAATTTTAAGTTTTAATATTAACATAAGTATTGTATAAATGGGGCAGTTTAGCCAAATGGTTAAACGAATCGCATTTTTGTAAGTGTTTAGTAAATGTAGGTTGTATTTTTTCAGTACATGTCACAGTCAATACTTTGTGCCAGTCAAAATTTCGTTTGACTAGAAGTTTATTTGTAATTGTACCCTTTTTCTATTTAGAATCACACACCTGATACATAAAGACTTCGATTCTATATGGGGTCCGATTAGATTTGCAAAAAATCCCCTACCAAATCCGTCCTATTCAAAAGTCATTTGATAAACAAACGGTGACTTGAGTTTCCGCCACTTCTTAGGAGATTTATTGAAGTGGCGGTAGGGTAAGCTATTTGTTTTCAGTGCCCTGAAAAAGTTATTACAAATAAATAATATTATTGAACTTGTTATTAGTCACAACAAATTTTGACTGAAATAAAGTTTTCACTGTGACTAAAGTAAGGGAATGCTGTCTTGATAATTATTAGATCTGTCCCTGGCATTTTTAGATGGTAATTCTCAAAGGTACAATATTTTCTCATATGACTGTTTGTACTGCATTTCTATTGAAATATGGCATTCCATGTCTGTCGTAGGTTAAGGAACTAAATATTTTAACATGTTTTCTTTAGTTGTACCCTTTTAGTACAATGTAACTATACAATTGAATCCTATAAGAAGTATATTGATTTATTTATATAAATGTTGTATTATTTTGTTACAAATAAGTTACTTTTGCGTGAACTTCGGCAAGCGTAATATCGACAGGACTGTGTGTAAGTTCATAAATGCGGGGAGTTTTGTGTATTATAAGATTTCTACCTACCTTCTAAAAGTTATTATAACATTTGAATGTGTGTAATCTATCAGGTATAGAATAATATTGGGTAGAAGCTCGGTCAAATAAAAGACAGTATATTGTCGACAACACAAAACGTGATAGAGCGATTTTTATTATTTACACATAACATCTATATACAAATTGGAACTATTACCGTCTGTACAACGCCACACACAAGGACATAAGACGTATTCTGGTATCACAAACAATACATAGTTGTGCTAAATAAATATACAATGTTATAAATAAATATTTCTAATACAGTTCACATTTAACGGATATAAACAACTGCATAACAAAACCATGTATAATAAGTACACAGTTCGCATACGGATTTTTTCTAAATTAAACTATTCTATGTTAAAAACATTTCGCGATATTTAATAGATTTGGATGACATTAAACAGACATCAGTCTTTTGGAATTATTGTACGTATTACTTTGTTAATTTGTCATTTAGATAACATCAATAATTTACATTTTACACGAATTTCATGAACGATAAAAGTTTTGAAGTTGGCCATTTGTTTGAAGCTTCAAGAACGTGTTATAAAAAAACTGGTGTTCTCAGGGTGTTAGTGTCTTATCCTTTAAGTTGGTAGGTACTTTAAATTTAACATACTAAAGCCTGTTTTGAGCCTGCAACATAATTACGCGCGAGCGATAAAGATGGGTAGCTTGGGGTCATTGGACAAAATTCTACGTGCTCACGGACCAGGCTTTAACCTATGTGCATACGCAACGCCCGTAGGGTAGTTAATTCCACAACATCGTAGTTACCATAGCAACGACAATCGAACGATGTCGAACAGTTGTGCGAATGAATGAACTTACTCGCGGTGCTTGCACTACCCTCCCCCGCCCTCCTTCAACGGTTACTCAACTAGTGCTCGCTGGGACGCGGAAGCGTCCGCGCGTGACATGTCGATTCATGTCATGCTACTGGCAGGCGTCTTAACCTTAAGTTGTGTGACCGCCATTGTTATTATTGTATCGCATATCGGCTAACATTATAAACCTTACAAACGGAGTTCCTACCCGCGGTTTTGGTGTTTTGTTTGTAAATTGAAGTTTGTTATCAAGAGTTGAGCGCCGAGCGAGCGAGTCGCGCGCTAAACAGCTGAAAGTCGTGACGTAGAATGAGGTAGGTGGATGACTGTTTAGTTTACTCTAACACCCTGTATTATGCTGCGTTTACAATGCGCGGAAATTAGCCAAGTCAAGTCAAATAACAGTGGGGTGGGGATGAATTATGAATGAATTTCATCCCCACTCCTCTGTTTTTTTGACTTGACTCGGCTAATTTCCGCATAGTGTATTTAACGTATAATTCGCTGGCTTTCATACTATTGTTATTGATGCCATTTATCCAAAATGGACGGGTAATCTTAAGTCACTTTGCCTCTGTGGTTAATAGCGATTTAAAGTTGAAAATAACTTGAGGAGGGGTTATTTCGAACTCTCATTCTCCGCATTGCATTATTTGCATTACCAATTAATGGTTGGTTACAATATTAAAAGATATTTTTTTATCGCTTGTTATTGTCTAATTTGTAGTTTTCTGACGATACAATTTTTTACGAAAGCAAGTTTGATAGCAGACTCAATTTGCATAGAAATTAGCGCCACGAGTTTCATAAGTTTATTATTTACTAGTTAAATTTTAACAATTTTGCTAATTAACATAATTTATTTACTGCAAGCAAAGCACTTCAACGGCCTTATGTCACATGTCAATGTAAATCTCAATGTTTTCGTTTTCGTGACACTAAATTTCATTTATTTTCTGCTAAAGCACTCCAAAGAGTCTACTTGTAGACCTAGGATGCGCGCCGCGATAAGCTTTTATCGCGCCATTTTATCGACGCGATAAGTCCATAGTTTAGTCGTATAAAATCAACGAAAATATTTTATCACGGCGCGCATCCTAGCTCAACTGAGGTGTTTGAAAATGACCCTTATATCATTGTGCGTGTTTGCCCACAATCGCTTCGACGTCCCTTACTTCTTTGACGGCGGCATCCGTGAGGACTAGAGGCGTTCCCTCCGTGACTAATACATCGTCTTCGATGCGAATGCCGACTCCGCGGAACTCTGGCGGCACTGACGTGTCGTCTGGGCGGATGTAGATACCTGGGGATACACGATTTTCTTATTACCAAATTTGTAAATACAGTCCGCCACCCCTTTGGCAGGTTAAAAGAGTGGAAATTATCCGTTGTGACCTTTACCAAGGGGTGCCACTCCGTAGTTTACGTACGATCCTTCCAGAATGCGCATGAATTGCACGCTAGACTTTTCAAAATTGGCAACCCTACCGTTTTGAAAGAAAGGGATCTTTTACGCGATAGAAAGAGACGGCATGTTTCAAGCGAATGTAGATAGTACGTATATCGGTTGGCCGAGTGAGACTTGCAATAAAGTACAATTTAGTTACTTGCTTTATTGAGATGAGTCTGTGGCGTGGTCAAACTTTAGGCGTGGCAAACTATAGGCTCTGTTGGTCGATAGATGGATCGGGCTGTTAATCAGCATAATGGACATGTATGAAAGTGCGGACATTACACCGATTTGGTATCGGCCGATTCTTCATACCAATTGAAATCGGGCCCATCCATCAGCCGACTAAAAGTCTGAAGCGTTTATTCCCGATGTCCCCCACTATTTGACCAGTGGGGGACAGCGCTACTGAAATTTTCCCGTTGGGCCCTACTGGTGGACACTGAGAAGAAATGTGTTGCTCTGTCCCTCAGTGGTGGACATCGAAACCAAAAAAGTTCCGTTGTCCCCCACTATTATATTTGTGTTCATGAATACAAACATTTTAAGTAAATCTTATACTAATAAAATTATAATACATAAATTTTTAAAGCATTTTTATTATAGTTTAAAACAATCCTTAATTAATACTGACGCCCGAAGTGTGCGTTAATCGGAACGGTTTTCGTCATTTTTAATTTTCTAAGTACCTACAATGTTCATGTTATCAGAAATTATTGTGATGGTAATGTTACTATTGAAAAAGTTTACATAAATAGGAAAGGTAGCCCATCAATACACTACTGCATTTTCTATGAATATTGTTAATATCATATTATACAGGGTGTTACTTTGCATTCTTGCCATATTTACAGAGGTTACTATATTACTGATACTGAACACAAATCCGTAAAAAAATAATGCCCGAAAAATTTTTTTTTTAATCTTGAATATTTTATTTTATCGACAATCTGTTAAACACATCACTAATTATCGTAACGCATGCACATCACTTGTTGGCGATGGCGATGAAGACTTTTTTACTTTTTATTGTATTTTTAAATATCTATTGCAATCTATTGTCTTTAAAATGTCTTTTTGACACTTGTAAAAAACTGAGAAATCCATCAATCACAAATCACGTTATAAATAATACAAAAATGTATGAAGCGTATTCAAACAACGAATAATTTAATCAAAATGGTGCTTGGAGTGTCTGCAAGACGTCTTAGACGAAATGCTTGATGACGTAGCCTTAGCGTTACACCAAATGCNAGCCCGTAAAGTAGAAAGGAAAATCTGAAATCAACTGAAGAGTATTTTAAAATAATTATTATGACTGGATAAAAAGGCTGGTACCCAGAGCCATAAAATTAAGAACTAGGCCACGCCCACTAGGTTTATTCCACTTGCACCTGTAGAACGTGCGAGACAAAATGGGTTTATTCCAATTTGTATTGAAAAACCAAATTTACTAAAATCTTAGTGTACTTTCTTTATGGGAGTCTCTTGTTTATCTTAAATAATAGGTATTGTTCCCTACTTTTATCTCTGTGAATATGGCAAGAATGCAAAGTAACACGGTGTATATTATTGCTATTAATATCAAGGACGAAGGTCAACCTTCATATTATGTTAAAAAACTGAGAATTATATTTGATACGAAATAAAAATGTTTATTTTTTAATAATCATGAAAATAAAAAAAATAGTGGGGGACAACGGAACTTTTTTGGTTTCGATGTCCACCACTGAGGGACAGAGCAATCAGAAATCAGTGTCCACCAGTAGGGCCCAACGGAAAAATTTCAGTAGCGCTGTCCCCCACTGGTGGACATTGCAACTTTTTTTCTCGATGTCCACCAGTGGTGGACCACGTGGGGCTAACGGGCTATTAGTAATTTGTGCAATAAAAATTACTAATAATCTTTAAAAAAACTAGTGATAGCCATAGCGTCGGTTTGACGGACCCTTAGGTATTGCGTTTTATTACCTGGCTCGACGGTGACGACCATGCCGGGCGCGACGGGCACGTTCCTGCGGACTAGCGGCGCGTCGTGCACGTCCAGCCCCAGGTAGTGCGACACGTGGTGCGGGCACAGCCGGTACGCTTTCTGAAGGAATATTATTATACTTATAAGATCGGCAAGAAGGTTGTATTTTGTGTTTCGAATGAGTGCTATTGACGCTAATTTCAAATAACTACCGGTTTAGAAAACTTGAAAGAAAAGGGCCCTACAGTATTTTTCTTATCCTTTGGACATTTTTACACAGCGCCTCTAGTTCCAAACTAAGCAAAGCTTGTACTATGGGTACTAGACAACGGATAAGTCTACTGGCTACTATTTTTTACTAACAAATCTATCGCTTCCGTGGTATAGTGAAATAACCAGCTAGAGTAGTACAATGTTGAGAAATAATGTACTTGATTCTGTGAACAGACTCGTGTCCAAATCGCATAGGCCATAGACTGCAATATAAATTAAAGAGATAGTTGGACCAAATATACTCCCTAAAGGTACACCTAAAACTTTAACAAGTCCCGTAAAATGGGAAATGATTTGGTTTTTTTACTATATGACAGACTGGTATATGTCAAGCAAGATATAAGCCTTGTTCAAATCTCCAGTATAATTTGTATGAGAGTGTTGGGATTCCGTGGAGGGTAGTTGAACGGGAAGCATGGTCGATCTGTTTTAATGGTTTCAATTTATTATTTAATGGACTTTAGTGTACAAATTTGGTGTTATTTTGTGTTCTAAAGTGCAGTGAAGTGATAAATTATAAAAAACATTGAAATACTTCGAATCTGAGCGCGCATCGAGTGTCGAGTGGGTTGTCGTATGAACAACCCGCTTTGGACCCGGTGGCGTCTCGAAACCTGCTTACGGGCATACTTAACTCCACGGAATCCATGAAAAATCAATAGAACTGAAACACCCACGCTCTATTGATAACTTTGTCAATTATTTTTCACTCGACATTGGCAGAAATAAACCTCCCAGAGAGGTTTGGTTGCCATTAAAAAAAAAAAAAAAAAAAAATGAGAGTGTTATTTTTATTCAATATCAAACGCTCTAAGCAACTTACCACGATCCGCTCGCTGCCATCAATGTGTCGCGGCAACACACCGTCCTGGTAATCTCAATTTTAGCTTTGAATGTAAACTTCCTGGCCGCCCTGTATAATTGGTACTAAATTCTTTATTGTAAAGCCATCAAAGTAACTCACCCCGATAAGCTCACTCCCATCAATGTGTCTCGGCAACACGCCCTCCTGCTGTAACTGGGCGCCCAGCAGCCGGCACATGCTGTCGAACAGCTGGTCCAGCGCCGGCCGGTGCTCCCCCAGGATCTCTATCAGGCGCAACTGCGTACAATAAAGTAAAGACTTAAACCTACAACGACGTTAATTGTGGTAATCCTCGTTAAATATTTATCAATTCAATCGCCACTCTTGTGGCGGAGTTTTGGGCTGACACTGTGTAGGTTTGTTGTCGACACGAAAAGAAGAAGAATATTTATCAATTTCAACCACAGGACGACCACTGCTGAACATAGGCCTCCTTCAATGATTTATACATTGAAGGACTCGTCACACTGGATGCGGTTTGCGGTCAGGTTAAAGTAAACTTACATACGGGTCTTGGGCAGGGGCTCCTTGGGGTCGGGGGCCCCTGTCATTTTGCCAGCCCTGCCACCCTATAGTTACGCCACTGATGCGGGCTGTCCAGTGTGACAAAACCTTGACCAGTTGGTAGCAGTCTGCATTCAGCGCTTTCCTGCTACCTTTTACTTTAAGCTTTATAAAGAAGCTCAAAGTTGCACAGCGTGTTATGCAATGGGTTAAATACTCTGTTTCTTTAACATTTTCAAAGCAGCAAAAAATGAATCAATTTTCATGGAAAACTAACTGTGCTTTTCTAGATGGAATTTATTTAATTTTATAGTAGTCGTGAAAACAACATACGATGTGTTGATGAGTACCTGAACTGTGAGCACCAACTCGTAGAGTATCCTGTGGTACTTGGAGAACTGTCCGGACACGGGCCACGTCCGGGAGATGTCCGAATTGTACAGCCACCGCTGGCTACCTGTAACAATGGGAGGTTATAGAATTGTTATTATTAGATATGTTACATTTCATTAGATGACAATTCATAATAGAACTCGGTACTAAGAAAAAAGCCACCCAAATAGTTACGTCATTTAATTTTAGAAACTGGAATTTGACGTGGAAAGTGAAGTTTCGTTGCAAGTTCTCTTTTCTGGTTACAATGTAGCGAGAGTTTCCCGTTGATGGCAGACCATACATC